AACCAGCTGTACAACAAATGCTAAAGGAACTTCTCTAGGCAGGAAACACAAGAGAAGAAAAAGACCTACAATAACAACCCCCCCCAAAATTAAGAAAATGGTAATAGGAACATACATATCGATAATCACCTTAAATTGAAATGGATTAAATGCTCCAACCAAAAGACACAGACTGGCTCAATGTATACAAAAACAAGACTTGTATATATGCTGTCTACAAGAGACCCATTTTAGACCTAGGGAACATACAGACAGAAAGTAAGGGGATGGAAAAAGATATTCCATGCAAATGGAAATCAAAAGAAAGCTGGAGTAGCAATTCTCATATCACACAAAATAGACTTTAAAGACTATTACAAGAGACAAAGAAGGACACTACATAATGATCAAGGGATCAATCCAAGAAGAAGATATAACAATGGTAAATATTTACACACCCAACATAGGAGCACCTGAATACATAAGGCAAATGCTAACAGCCATAAAAAGGGAAATCGACAGGAACACAATAATAGCAGGGGACTTTAACACACCACTTTCACCAATGGACAGATCATCCAAAATGAAAATAAGGAAACACAAGCTTTAAATGACACATTAAACAAGATGGACTTAATTGATATTTATAGGACATTCCATCCAAAAGCAACAGAATACACTTCTCAAGTGCTCATAGAACATTCTCCAGAACAGACCATATCTTGGGTCACAAGTCAAGCCTTGGTAAATATAAGAAAATTGAAATCATATCAGTTATCTTTTCCGAACACAACACTGTAAGACTAGATATCAATTACAGGAAAAAACCTGTAAAAAATACAAACACATGGAGGCTAAACAATACACTACTTAATAACGAAGAGATCACTGAAGAAATCAAAGAGGAAATAAAAAAATACCTAGAAACACATGACAAAGAAAACACAACCACCCAAAACCTATGGGATGCAGCAAAAGCAGTTCTCAGAGGGAAGTCAACAGAAATACAATCCTACCTCAAAACAAGAAAAATCTGAAATAAACAACCTAACCTTACAACTAAAGCAATTAGAGAAAGAAGGACAAAAATACCCCAAAGTTAGCAGAATGAAAGAAATCATAAAGATCAGATCAGAAATAAATAAAAAAGAAATGAAGAAAACAATAGCAAAGATCAATAAAACTAAAAGCTGGTTCTTTGAGAAGATAAACAAAATAGATAAACCATTAGCCAGACTCATCAAGAAAAAAGGGAGAAGACTCAAATCAACAGAATCAGAAATGAGAAAGGAGAAGTAACCACTGACACTGCAGAGATACAGAGGATCATGAGGGATTACTACAAGCAACTCTATGCCAATAAAATGGACAACCTGGAAGAAACAGACAAATTCTTAGAAAAGCACAACCTTCCAAGACTGAACCAGGAAGAGATAGAAAATATAAACAGACCAATCACAAGCACTGAAATTGAAACTGTGATTAAAAATCTTCCAACAAACAAAAGCCCAGGACCAGATGGCTTCACAGGTGAATTCTATCAAACATTTAGAGAAGGGCTAACACCTACGCTTCTCAAACTCTTCCAAAATACAGCAGAGAGAGGAACGCTCCCAAACTCATTCTATGAGGCCACCATCACCCTGATACCAAAACCAGACAAAGATGTCACAAAAAAAATTACAGACCAATATCACTGATGAACATAGATGCAAAAATGGAAATAAAAACAAAACTAAACAAATGGGACCTAATGAAATTTAAAAGCTTTTGTACAGCAAAGGAAACCATAAACAAGACAAAGACAACCCTCACAATGGGAGAAAATATTTGCAAACGAAGCAAATGACAAAGGATTAATCTCCAAAATATACACGCAGCTCATGCAGCTCAATATCAAAAAAACAATCAACCCAATCCAAAAATGGGCAGAAGACCTAAACAGACATTTCTCCAAAGAAGATATACAGACTGCCAACAAACACATGAAAGGATGCTCAACATCACTATCATTAGAGAAATGCAAATCAAAACTACAATGAGGTATCACCTCACACTGGTCAGAATGGCCATCATCAAAAAAATCTACAAACAATAAATGCTGGAGAGGTGTGGAGAAAAGGAAACCCTCTTGCACTGTTGGTGGGAATGTAAATTGATAAAGCCACTATGGATAACATATGGAGTCTCCTTAAAAAACTAAAAATAGAACTACCATATGACCCAGCAATCCCACTTCTGGGCACATACCCTGAGAAAACCATAATTCAAAATGAGTCATGTACCACAATGTTCATTGCAGCACTATTTACTATAGCCAGGACATGGAAGCAACCTAAGTGTCCATCGACAGATGAATGGATAAAGAAAACGTGGCACATATACACAATGGACTATTACTCAGCCATAAAAAGAAACGAAATTGAGTTATTTGTAGTGAGGTGGATGGACCCTGAGTCTGTCATACAGAGTGAAGTGAGAAAGAGAAAAACAAATACTGTATGTTAATACATATATATGGAATCTAAGAAAAAAATAATGGTTCTGATGACCCTAGGGGCAGGAAAGGAATAAAGATGTGGACGTAGAGAACGAACCTGAGGACACAGGGAGGGGGAGGGGTAAGCTGGGACGAAGTGAGAGAGCAGCACTGACATATATACACTACCAAATGTAAAAGAGATAGCTAGTGGGAAGCAGCCGCACAGCACAGGGAGATCAGCTCGGTGCTTTGTGACCACCTAGAGAGGTGGGATAGGGAGGGTGGGAGGGAGATGCGAGAAGGAGGGGATATGGGGATGTATATATATACATATAGCTGATTCACTTTGTTATAAAGCAGAAACTAACACAACATTGTAAAGCAATTATACTCCAGTAAAGATGTTAAAAAAAAAAAAAAGATAACCAACAAGGACCTACTGTATAGCAAAGGAAACTCTACTCAATATCCTGTAATAGGGGCTTCCCTGGTGGCGCACTCGTTGAGAATCTGCCTGCAAATGCAGGGGACACGGGTTCGAGCCCTGGTCTGGGAGGATCCCACATGCCACGGAGCAACTAGGCCCATGAGCCACAACTACTGAGCCTGCGCGTCTGGAGCCTGTGCTCCGCAACAAGAGAGGCCGCGGTAGTGAGAGGCCCTCGCACCGCGATGAAGAGTGGCCCCCACCTGCCGCAACTAGAGAAAGCCCTTGCACAGAAACGAAGACCCAACACAGCCAAAAATAAATAAATAAACTCCTACCCCCAACATCTTTAAAAAGAAAAATTCTATAATAAAATATATGGGAAAAGAAAGAGGAAAAAAAAAGGAAAAGGAAGCTAATTTGCTGAATGCTGATTTTGTGTTAGGCATAATAGTCAATTTTCATACTTCTTCCCCTTTAATAATTGAAACAACTATGAGATGTATCATTAATTTCATTTTAAAAGAGGGAATACCCTCAGTCGGGAACTGAGTAACAGTTGAGTTTGTGGTTTAGCAAGGAGTAGAAACTCATTACTAATACTATGTGACTCCCAAGTGTATTTTATTCTCACTTCACCCTTCTGTAAGGATGCTTGTGTTGGAGGCTCTTGGTCAGTTTTTAAACTTACTACCAATAGTATAACTTGAGCAGTATTTATCAAAGGCAAATACATCTAAATATGTAGCTGGTTTTGCTTACTTCATTCTACCCTGGAAATACTGAATATTCCCAAAAGATAATAAAATATTTAAAACAGTGTTCCATGAAATTTTACTTACAAAACTAATGGAAATTGGTCTATTAATTCCATCACATAGACCTTAAAGCAATGAAAAGTCAGGCAGGGTAAAATATACAGAATGATGATACTAAAGAAATCAGTGTTAAAATTATCTTGTTCATCAATATGCTTACAAAAATGTTTGTATTATTTGTAGATGATATGAAGTTGAAAGCTTTAAAATAGGAGGAAAGAAACTAATCATAATTGCTGTTACAAGGGTCAAAACAGAAAACTCTTAAATATTGTTCAACTCATGCAAAATAACCTAAATGGTTTGGGTAAACTGAGGCTGAAAATTTGAAAGTCAATGAAGTAATGGTGAATAACCGCAATAGTAGAAATCAAGGCGCAAAGACAACTTTTATTCTATTAATTAAATATTCTGAAATATATAGGTTACTACCATAGATTACCCTTATGCTGAGATAAAAGTTTAAAAACAATTTTTGGAAAAAAAATTAAAATTAATTAAATTTAAGATTTATTTAAACTATGGTTTTAAATGCTCGTCTATTTGGAAGTAAGGGTGATACTCTGTCAACAATACAAGTAAACAAGAGTATCTGCAACTTTCAAAAGTTTATCTTATGACATTGACTTATTCCTGGAGACTAGTTTTGTCAGATCTTTTTTCTATGAAAACACAAACATATAGTAGTAATTTATTCAAAGATAGCAGGCAACACTTCTGTGGTTTATGTTTAGACATGTTTGTAATATTAAAAAACCAAATCACCAAACCCCAAACCCCCTCCTTTCACTTGTCTGTGAATCCACTGCTATTGAGATTCTGTGCTCAAAGCTTGCTCCTTCATCAATAATACCCATGTTGAGGGCAGAGGCAGGGTCCTGAGGGAATAAGTCAAGAAAAATGAATCTTGTGATCACAGTGGGAACCTAACAGACACATCCTATAATAAGCCCCATTCACCTCAGTGCTATTCTTGAACAGTGAAGGGGAAAGAAAGGGAGGGGAAGAAAAAGAAAACAGCCACACACACAAAAAGCACAGGAACTTTACTTATTAATAAAACATAAGGGCAATAGTAATCAATTGCACATAAATATATTTTGCTATTTCTTAAAAAATTAAAATACAACTAATATTAAAACTTCAACGAAAAGGATGTAATTTTTTGGTGGGCTCAAGTGGAACTTAAAGATCTTATCATGCTTTAGGACCATCATTATGAGGCACAAATATGAGAAGTGCAGTTGTTATTTATGAAAGGAGAGTTCAAACTTGTTAAGCTTCAATTTCCTACCTGTGCTATGAGGCACTTCTGCTGGGGTATTAGCTGGAGCGTGGGCACCGGGAGGAATCTGTATTCCAGTATAGCTGCTTGATGGCATGTTGCTTGGGTCATACGTTGAAGATGATGCCTGAGGTGGCTGACTGGGCAGAGAGGCTGTTCCAGCATCTTCATTTTCCTCAACATCTATTATATAATATACATGCAATGTTAAATGAGGTCCACACAGTCCCTGATTCATGGGGTTTTTGTACGATGGTGCAAAAGTGATAGGAACTCAGTAGAAACCATACTTTGAATTTTGATCTTTTCCCAGGCTAGCGATATGCAGTATAGTACTCTCTGTGATGCTGGGCAGCTGCAGCCACAGCTCCCAGTCAGCCACGCAATCACAAGGGTAAAAAACTGATACACTTACAACCATTTTATTTTTCACTTTCAGTACACTATTCAGTAAATTACATGAGATATTCAACACTTTATTATAAAATAGGCTTTGTGTTAGATGACTTTGCCCAACTGTGGGCTACTGTAAGTGTTCTGAGCACTTTTAAGGTAGGCTGGGCTAAGCTATGATGTTCAGTAGGGTAGGTGTATTAAATGTATTTTCAAATTATATTTCCAATTTATGATGGGTTATCAGGATATAACCCCATTGTAAGTTGAGGAGGATCTGTATTTTGAAATAGAAATGCCGAATATTCTTATTTTGCTATACAGACATGACAGACATTTGAATGTAATTCTATTTAATGCAATTGATAAGCAGCTTCTCTTAAAATAATTGTTTTAATTTTTTTCCTTTTCTTAAAACACTTAGTTGTGCCTGGCAGTATGATCAACATTTCTTTAAATTAATACTTTCCAACTCTGTAAAATCTCTGCATATATTATATTTTTCTTAAAAATAAATTTTCTTTAAACCCATTCTTTAAATTTATGAAAAATGGAGGACATTTTTGGCAAAACATGTCACATTTATGCTCTCCATAAGAACTCTACTTTCTGACAGCTGCCTTTTACTCAATATTTATTGTTTACTAGCTATTAAATGATTACCTGTGTGTTGTTCAACAAATTAAGTAACAAAAACAAAGGAATAAAATTTCACATTGAGCTGTCTATCTATGTAGAAAGGATTAATAAGAGAGCCACTTTGTTGTTCCATATCCAAGTGGATATGGAAACGTAGAGTTTGAATGTTAACAGATATCCCTTCAGTTGGGCCTAAATTTTTCCTAGAACACTTTTTTGTACCAATCATATGGCTTCCTTAAGTATTTTCTGACAATACGGTGACATAGTACTGTTTTCAAAAATTAAGTATACTTCTTTTTTTCTTACTCTAAATTAACTAAGGTATAGTATCTATTATTTTTTTTACTAGTTTTACTAGAATTCAATTCCAGAATGACAGAAAATTAGACTTTTATTAAACATAATACCTTTTACACCTAGAATATCTTATAAAATTTAAAAACACAGAGAATATAATGCTACATTGAGAAAAAGAAAAATCAGTTTTAAGGAAGAGTTTTTGCATACATATTCAGATTTAATAACATCCTCTTTTAAAGCCGTAAGCCATTTCTGAGCAGACACTGTTAGATTAACACCTAATGACACCAGGGTATTTTTTAAATTAACAGGTTGAAAAGTATACAATGAAAATATTCTCCTTTATATCTAAAAGGATTATTAGTATTCTATAGTATTCTATAGCTAACAATTTTCTACTATCCAGAAGCTCTATAAAAACTGAATGAAAATAATGAATAAAAATTACAAGCTCAATTTAAGCCAATTTTGGGAAAGCAAAATAAAAATTACATAGATTTAATAATCTATAGTATTATAGAGGGCTTGAAACAACCATTTCAGAACAAAAGAGATCAAGATAATAATCAACACTTTCAAGAGAAAAAGGTTAAAAAGTTTAAGATTAGAGAAAGTCACTGATGCTGAAAGAGTGCCTGAAAAACAAAATTGATCATTTATGGTATTTCAGTGTATCTAGAATGATACCTCTGAAATACTACTGAAAAGTAAAATGATATGTTTAAAACAACAAAGATTTTTTTCATGGTGTATTTTCATACATAAGCATATATAAGCAGTAAAGTATCTTTCAAATCAAATGTTTGAGAGTAATTATGAATATTACATGTATTTTTACATTTACTACACATATGTGTATGTACCTTACATGTAATAAGATAACAGAAGTGTCTCTGCTTCAGACTCCAATTTAATATGATTACTAAAGGTGAAAAAAGGTTGGTTCCATCTTTGGTTTTAATTCTTAAGCAACCCATTCCCCCCGGGTGATCCAGCATTTTACTTTGGCTTCACTTCTTCCTTTCAAACTGACAACTCCAAAATTCTACTTTCAGCCGTGACCTTTCTTCTGAAATCTTGGGTAGAATATCTAATCGCTACTGAACTTCTTCAAGCAGTAATCACATTAGCATCTCAATGCCTTCCCTTGACTTTTCCCATCAACCTGCTTATCTTGTATTAGCCATTTCTTTGAATGGAATCACCATGCCTCTGAGCACAAAAGCCCAAAACAGGAATCATTTTCTGTTTTCTCCCTCTTGTTTCATATTAAACTGTTCCTTGATCCTACTGATTACACTTCCTTAACTATACTTCCTTCTCTTTATTCCCCTCTGGCCAATATCTTACCCAGATTTTCATTATTTATAATTTGGATTACTGCTCCTGGATTCACCTTACAACCTGCAGAATTATCTTTCTCCAATTAACTCTTAAAAACATTTTTCTTTTTTTTCCTTTCTTTCAGTTCTTACAGTTGGCCAGGTCTCAATCCGCCTCCCTGCCTTTGAAGATGCTATTCTCTTCAGTTGTAGCATCCTTCTCTTTTTTCTTTACCTGACTTAATTAGTTCAATTTATCTTTTAAGACTCAGCTCAGGCATCACTTCTTACCAACATGTACTATAACTACTTATTAACCTATAGCTCCCCATGAGAATGCAAGCTCTTATAGTACAGGACCATGTCTTATCCAACCCTAGTACCCAGGTAATGCTGACAAAATGACTTTAAAAAAGAAAAAAAAAGTTTCTTAAAAAATGAATGAAAAAAATGTGTAAGATTTAAAAAATGCAAGCACAGGGTATGTCCTAGGAAATGGGAGGTCATTACAAATTTGGGGCTCTATACCATGGCTAAATCACAGCAGTGTTTCTCATAATGTTGGTACTATGTTCTCAAGGGAAGACTAGATTATGTTAAGTTGATTGGTTGATTGGGACATTTTCCTGGAAGGCTCAATGGGGAAAATATATACGTATTAAGTCTTGTTATCTGGTTGAGGAAAAAATGCACCCACTTAAATGTAGAATAAGAGCATAGACGTTAGAATTATAAAGATTTGGGTTCAAATCCTAGGTTCCATTAACTAGTCATTAGAGCTTGGATAGGGATGCCCAGCTACCAACAGAATTATATGGGGACTAAATTAGATGATATATGTAAAATGTCTATCACAGCGCCTAACACCTAGCATGTGCTCTATAAGTTATAAATATTATCATAAATTATGAAAATACTTTATTAAATATATATTTTATAATAAACTATAAATACATACATAAAATAGCTCTGCAGAATTCACATGAAGGAAGACTTTTACAGAAAGGCAGGATTCAGACAGGTAAAGAAAGATGAACATTTTAGGAGGGAGAAATGGTTTTAATTAAAGAAAGAGACAAAGGTACTTTCTTGCTGTTAACTTCTATGGATGTAATAAAGGGTTTATATAGGTGTTATGGACTGAACTATCCCCCCAAAATTCGTATGATGAAGCTGTCACCCCCAATGTGACGGTATTTGGAGACAGGGTTTTTAGAGGTAACTACAGGTTAAATGAGGTCATAAGGGAGGAGCCCTAATCCAACAGGAATGATCTGCGCCTCTCCCCCTCCTTTGCCCCCTCTCCTTGACACTCCACCATATAAGAACAGAAAGAAGGTGGTCCTCTGGAAGCCAGGAAGTAGATTTTCACCAGAAACCAAACTCTGCTGGACCTTGATCTTGGATTTTCCAGCCTCCAGAACTGTGAGAAAATAAATGCCTTTTGTTTAAGCCACCCCGTCTACGGTATTTTGCTATGGCAGCCCTAGTGGACTAAGACAACAGGAGACAGGAGTAGGAAATAAAACTGGTCAGTGCCAGATGGTGGCGAGTCTTGCTTGGTAGGCTAAGGATCTTGGATCTTTTCCTTTGGAAAACTGAAAGTGACTAATAGTTTTGTAAACAGTAGGACTAACATGAAACATGCCTGACTGTGGTCAGTATTAAAGCAGCGAAGTAAGTATGTAAAACATTGCAAAATATTAAAAGAAAAAGTGAGAAATAAGGTTGTAGCAATACACTTGAAAAAATCCAATTTCACCGCCATGCTGTAAATAACTCCAAAACTTAACCATGTCTTAGAATAGTTAACTTTAAACACTTAATAACAACTTAATATTACAGTATTCATGCTATAGTGGTAAAAAGAACAAAGGACTTTGAGTAATAATTCAACTTCTGGTTCTCCTTCTCTGTGGTTCTATGACATTACGCAGGCCAAAACCCAGAACCTCAATTTCCTCTTCTGTAAAACAGAAATAACATCAACTGTCTCTTGGAGATTTTTGAGGGTATGAGATACATGAAAATGATCTGCAAGCTTTAAGGTATTATATGAATGCAGGGCATTTATTATATGACTGCAAGAAGCATTCTATGTGAAAAAGGCTACCTCAAGATTAAACAAGGATATATCATGAAGTGTCCTTCAGGAACAGATAGCAAAAAATTCACTTGAAATGATGCATAAAAGCTTGCTTCTCTAGGAGAAGAGCTGCAAAAATAGTTTACACATAGTATTTATATGTAGAACTGTAGTGTTGCTTTTTTACTGAGTGGCATTATAAAATTCTAAATAGTCCTCCAAATGAATGAATACATAAACCAACCAACCAGATGTAGAACAGTGTGTGTATTACCAATTGTGTGAAAAAAGTGAGGGTATATATTCCTATTTCCTAGTAATTTATAAAAAATAATCTCTGTAAAAATACACAAAACACTAAAAACATTATTTACTTATTTGGGTTTCAGTAGAATCTGGGAAGATAAAGGGTATGGTGGAAAGGAGAATTTCACTTCATATTTCTTATATACTGTATACATTTCTAACCATGTGAAAGTATTACCTGCCCCTCTCTCCACAAAAAACCCACCTCAGGTATATACAAAATAAATTCAGTGTTCTTTGCGGTTTGGAAACACTTTATAGATTAAAAAAGGATTGCCTGTCCCACGTAGGAAAGAAATCTGATTAGAGGCCGGAGACAGATATTAGAGCAGTTGACACAGACAGATATTAGAACAATTTGGCCTTAATTTTTCACTTGTCCCTAAGTTTATCATTTTACACCTGATTTTGGACCTGATGAAGGAAACAAAATTGTATCACTCCTTCTAAAACCTCTGAATAATAATATATTAAGCAATTGTGATTCTACTATATCATTTTACTTAGATAAAATACATACCATTATCTTCTTCAATCCCAACAGGCCCTGCTTGAGGAGTCTCTCCATTCTTTAAACAATTGTGAATATATGTTGCCTTCCACCTTGCATACTTTCTGTGTTTCACATTCTAAAAGAAATATTTTTATGTCAATGTTAGACTACAGTAAAAAAGTCAAATAAAAATGTACATTATGATGACCTACATCATACTTCTGTGATAAAACCTATTTTTGCACAGTACAGCTCTGAAATATTCTGGCAATCTCCCCACCTTATCATGGGATTCTACCAACTGCCTAGGGCTTGACAGACTTCATGAAAAGCCATCTTCCTCAAGACACATAATTAGTTCTCTTTTGTGGTTTTGTGTTCCAGAAAAGGTCTACAATGGAACTACAGGAGTGTCCTTTCAGCAAAACTGGCAACTTTTATGCATAGGACAAAAATAGGCTAAATTGAATTTAAAATTAAACATAAAGTAACAACATACTAAATGATTCTCACTAAAGAGGGAAAAATTAATCTGTACAAATATATGAAAACAAACAAACAAAAAACTAAGATGCTATAGTGGTTACAGCAAACACATGAACATTAGACCGACAGCTACGCAAACTTGACCTTTTAACTTATGTTATTTACCAGCTCTAAATCTCAGTTACCTCGGTTCTAAAAAGGGGAAAATAATACATCACTGGGTTGCTGTAAAAAGAAATGGAAAATCAGTGAAGAACCTGCTAGTTGCCTCTCCTTCTTTCCTGGCTTAAAATTTATGCTACATGCTATAAAATAAGACAAAAATTAGCTTTAAAAATACAAGAGTAAAATCTGTTAGAATTTCGGATGGACTACTGATTTTCAGTTTAATTTTCATTTGACCTTTATTATAATCATGGACCAGTGGCACTGCTAACACCTGGGAGCTTGTTAGAAATGCAGACTCTTCTAGCCCACCCCAGACTTCCTCAACCACAATCTGCACTGCATCAAGACCCCCCAGGTGATCTGTATGCACATTAAAGTTGGAGAGAACACATGACTTTATTATGTTGAAAACAACTGTAATTTGCATTTTGTAAAGATCCACTAAGTCATCAATAACTATAAGTACTGCATACAGTCCAGATACTTAGTTGAGTATTCTGTAATGTGAGATTCTCTACATACTACTATAGATAAGTAGTACAACATAAAGAAACCTAAAAAAAAGTAACCCTTCAAATTACTGAATTTGTATATTTAACTTCTCTTCTCTTATAAAACAATCCTCTCATATATTCCATTTTTTAAAAAAGTTCCATACGTTGATTCTCATTTTCTTCCAGGTACAATTATATTTTGCTCCACTTCCCCTTACCTGGTCCTTACCACAACCTTGAAATTTAGGCAGGTTGTGTTTTACTCACACTAAGGCTCTGAGACATTAAAAGACTGACTCAATGTAAATACAGATTAACCTGGCATTCAAGGCCTTCTACACTGTAGACATGGCTTCAGTCTCATTTCCTACCATTTCCCTCAAACCAGCTGGGATTCTGCCTCACCTGCAGTCTTTCTCGTGCTATTCTCCCTGTCTCATACGGTTTCCTCTTCTGCCAAAAGTCTCCTCTTCTCTTAGGTTCAGTTCAAATGTTTATTCCCGTATGAGCTACCCTGACTCCCGGCAAGTCAACAGCTATTTATCATTTACTCAAGTCAGGCACCATGCTAAGTGCTAGAGGTAATGGGATGAACAAGTTAGGCATGAGCTTTGGAGTCCAATGTGAAAGCCAGGCAATAACTTCCATCACTAAATGTGACACCTGTATTATCTGAAGTCCATAATATTTTCTTCATCTTTTTCTCTTAGGATTCTATAATCCCAACATTATAGAGATGAGAAAGTGGCATTACAAAAGTAAAATGACTTACCCCATGTCACACTAGTAGTCAACCCAGCCATTCAATTTAGGGCTGTTCTGGTAAGCTACAATTAGCAAACTGCAATTTGCAATTTAGACAGGAATATATACAATAAAGGAAAGTGTGCTTTTTTTAAATTATTTTTTTAACACCTTTATTGGAGTATAATTGCTTTACAATGGTGTGTTAGTTTCTGCTGTATAATAAAGGGAATCAGATATATGTATACATATATCCCCTCCCTCTTGCGTCTCCTTCCCACCCTCCATATCCCACCCCTCTAGGCGGTCGCAAAGCACTGAGCTGATCTCCCTGTGCTATGCGGCTGCTTCCCACTAGCTAGCTATTTTATATTTGGTAGTGTATATATGTCCATGCCACTCTCTCACTTTGTCCCAGCTTACCCTTCCCCCTCCCCGTGTCCTCAAGTCCATTCTCTACATCTGTGTCTTTATTCCTGTCCTGCACCTAGGTTCTTCAGAACCAGAAAATGGGCTTTTAAATGGTACTTTAAATATAAAGAGAATCATTTTGAAAGTAAATGAATAAATTGCTTAGGAAAGTTTAAGTTACCTTCTTTTGGAGTCTTAGAAACGAGACAGATTTTCTTTGGTCTGAAATAATTTAACATCATCTAAAGCCTTAATTGGGTAAGTCGTATTGTAATGACTTTAGAAGGTTCCTTCATTCCTAATTTCATAGTATGAACAGTGTAGAGACATTTAAACTACATTGGGTTCCTTCATTAGTATGTGAAGTTTAAGAAACATTACTCTAACCTGAAATGGGTTCATTTTAATAAATAACATTTAAAAAAATTTCCCCAAAGCAGATAAATCAACACAACAGTTTGATTTTTATTCCACACTATTTCCAAGACATCGCTAGAAACTGGTGCTTAAATTTTGAGCAGATTTTGGCAGTTGTAACTCAAAACTAATTCACCTTTTCATTGTTTTCTTTAAAATAAAGGATGCTAAATATTAAACAATATTTGAAGAGGAGAATTTCAAGATGTCAACATTGTTGAAATCTTTTAACTTCTTTTGGCTGATTAGACATCCTTTCTGGGAAACAGGAATTACAAAAAGAACTTTTACTTTTGTCCCTGGCCTCTATGTTCCTGTTTTGTAACTGGATTGATGAGAGTCACTGACAACTGCAAATTTTAGCCACTGAGTCAGCAGTGGTTAAATAAGAATTTTCATTTAATTTTTAAATCATTTGCACTTGCTACACTGAAGAATGACTGGCCAGCAAACACCATTCATACGTTAAAACAGGGGTTCTCAAACCTGGTGCATGTAACAATCATATTAGGGTATAATAAAAAAATAAATTCCTGGGACTTCCCTGGTGATCCAGTGGTTAAGACTTCACCTTCCAATGCAAGGGGTGCGGGTTTGATCCCTGTTTGGGAAGCTAAGATCCCACATGCCTCACGGCCAAAAAACCAAAACATAAAACAGAAGCAATACTGTAACAAATTCAATAAAGACTTTAAAAAAATGGTCCACATGTAAAAAAAAAATTCCTGGCCCAAATTATAGAAAACCTGATATAAATCATTCTCCATTAGCATACCAAAAAGCCACCTTGAAAGAGAATGCTTTATTTTTTTAACATCTTTATTGGAGTATAATTGCTTTACAATGGTGTGTTAGAAAATGCTTTATATTAGCTGTCTCCAATTCTTCCTCTTGAACCCATCCTAGTCAAGTTTTTATCCCTAGCATGCACTGCAACTGCTTTTGTCAAGGTTAAGGATTGCTTTTCTTGCTAAATCCAAAGCTTAGATGTCACCTTACTTGTCCCCATTAACGTGGAAAGTTGAGTACTCCCTCCTCCTCGCAACCCCCTTTTCACTTGCTTTCCTGGTTATCAAGGTCTTCTGGTTTTGCCTCACTGGGTGTTCCTTTTCAGACCTTCATAGTGATTCTTTCTCATCTCCAGGGTGGGGAGTGCCACAGACTTCAGCTCTTAGACTTCTTGTCTTGTTTTCAACACTTTACCTTGACGACCTCTTCCAGTCTAATGGCTTTAAATACTGTGCGGTCAACTCCCAAATTCATATTCTCTGCTCAGACCTCTCTTCTGAACTTCAGGATGTATACATTCAACTCAACATTTCACTTGTACATCTGACAGCTCAAAACATCCAAAGTTCAAAACCGATTTCAGATCTTCCTGCTGCTCAATTCGTTCCTCCACGTCAGTAAATATCTTGTAGTTGTTCAAGCCCCAACCTTTGAAGTCATTTTTGAGCCCTCTATTTCGCTCATATTCTACCAATGAATCTTAAATTCTGTCAGTTCTACATTCAAAATGTATCCAGTTTCTCACTACTGCAATTTCTGGTCTGAGCCACCACTGCCCTCACTTTGATTATTAATAATATACTAACGGTGCCCCTGTTTCCACCGTTGTCCATTATAATGCAAGTAATAACACTTCAAAGATAGCAGTCAAATCCTGTCAACTCTATTTGAACTCCCCTTCCCCACCGTTACCTGCCAGCACTTTCCTCACTCTAGATTCAGCCACGTTGTATTCCTTGCTATGTCTTGAACTTTAACAGGTACCTGTGCTGTTCACAAATCTTTGCACTTTCTCTTGTCTCTTCCTGGAACATCTGTATGATTCACTCCCTTACTTCTTCAGGGCTTTGCTAAAATGTTGCCTTCTTAGTGAGACATTCCCCAAATACCTTATTTAAATTGACCTTCCTATCCCTGCCATGGGATCCCTAGCATGATATTTATCATATGACATACTATACATTTTATGTGTTTATTTGCTTACTGTCTGTCTTCACCAGAGGAATGTGATAACCACGAGGGCAGGGATTTAATCCACTGCTGTATTACTACTGCCTAGAACAGTGTTTAGCATGTAGTAGACATTAACAAATATTTGGTGAATGAATGAATGGACAGTAGATTCTGGAATCCAATTTTTTTTTTTTTTAAATCAAGTATCGCAAACGATTCTGAAGCTGGCTGTCCTAGAATGGCACTAAGAAAAACACTGAACTGGAGTGAAACACTTTTTGCTAACGAATAAATGTGAACATTAAACTTCAGTACACAGTTTCACTTAAGCTTGCAGAGAGGGGTCAGTGGATAAGGTGAAGGGTGTCCTTGAAACCCCCTGAATTATATGAAAAAAAAGCAATACACATATGCATGGGAGAGAAGCCACAGCTTTCATAACATTTCAAAGTAG